AGGGGGAGGAACGGGCAGGGCCGTCAGCCCCAGGGGTTAACAGCGGCCCCTTCCTGTGCTCCCACCTCACTGCCCCCCACTCCACCCCCATGCACACTTCATCCCACAGAGCGTTGCTCTGTCTTCTACCTGCCGGACGTGCCTGGCCTTCCCTGGATGGGCCTTCTCGCCACCCAGAAGCCAGCCTCCGACCCTCACCAGGGCACCAGGCAACAGGCTCTAAGTCTGGGGCAGCGGCCAGCGTATGGGCGCCTGTTCTCTGCCTCAGACATGCTCCTTCGGTGGGTTGCCGAGCAGAGGACTGACCCCAGGAGAGGCGAGGCAGCGGAGGACAGCACCTCTGCCACCCGAGGCACAGGACGCGGCACCTCGATGCGCCCATTGCGCCAGCAGGGCTGGGGGCGGGGACACCTGCGCCCTCCGCCGCCGGCTCAGCCCCCCGCCCCTGCTGACACTCACGCCTGCTTCTGCGTACCCCGTCTCAGGCCTACGGGGCTGCACCTCCCAAGCTGGGCCTCCATGAATGAAACTGGACGGTCAGGTGGGGGGACTACATGTCACCGGTCCCGGGGGGACTTGGGACGACCTTCCACCTCCCTCTAGACCTGAACAGCCCAGCTGGGGAGAAGCCACTTCCACGCCTCAGCCTTCCCACGTGGCCCTGAGCCCAGACACTCCCCGTCGGGGTCCACTCTGTAGGCCGAGGGGCTTTGTCATCCTGGCTAAATAGATAAAGCAAAATGTAGACGAGAGACAGACGAGGGAGGCGCTGAGGGGTGGCAGGGGTGCTGGGCACGTCTCACATCAGACCCACATCTCGCGGCCTGAGATGTCCCCGCCATGGTCAGCAGCCTGCGTGACTCCCACTGTCCTGGACCCGGCCAGTTTGTCTGTCCTGGACCCAGCCAGGTGTTCATGTCCTTGAGGCCCGTCCTGCCTCTGCCGGGTGCAGGATGGGCCTCAGGCAGCGGAGGTGGTGACACCGTGGGGCCAGGGAGATTCTAAAGAGGCCTGTCCTTCCCAGAGGTCAGAGGTCAGAGCCCAGCATCGGGCAACCCAGGGGCTGGGAAAAGGGCTGAGCAGACCAAGGGGAAACAGGACCAGGTCAAAGCCACAGGCAGGGCAAGGGCCTGCCCACCTGTGACGGACGGCTGGGAGGCAGCTGTGCAGGCGAGGGGCGGGCTGACCTGGAGCTTCCGGGTGGGGGTTGCACACAACACACAGACACAGGTGATGTGCGTGATGCACTGCACGAGCTCGATGTCAAGCGGCCGAGGGCGCGTGGGGGGGGGGGGGGGGCGCATTCTCCGGGGGCGGGAGTGCGTTCTGGGGAGGGTGGGGCTCCCAGGCGCAGGGATGCAGGTGGCTCTGGAAACAGCCAGGTCGGAGCTTCCCGGTCGCAGGGGGCAGTCACGCCAGGGAGCAGCCCAAGGGGCATTGGTGCCGTCCGAGGGGCGTGTGGGGTGACGCCTGCTGTGCGGCCCGGCACCCCAAAGTGGGCAAGCCCAGCCAGAGCCTTGGTCTCGTGCTCAGAAGGGGCAGGGCTTTAATGGCAGGAGGGCGGGAGGGTCCTGGGTTACTTGAAGCCGGGCTCTCCCCACTGCGGCAGCTGCTGGTCACTCTTTAGATGTCAAACATGAAAAACAAAGCTACGCCAGACACAGCTCCTGGCGCCTGCAGCTCGGCCAGCAGCCAGCGGGAGGTCCCTGTCTCAGCTTCTGCCTGCCTCCCAGTGTCTACCCGCTATTCTGTCTCCCTCCACCACGTCCTCCGCTCAGCCTCTTGGGAGTTCAGCAGCCCCAGGGGCACATCTGCCTGGCGCCCCTCCATGGGGGGTTGGGGCAGAGGAAGAGGGAGCATCGCAGATGGCCCAGGACACCTGCCCACTGAGAATCTGGAAGGACCTCCTGTGACAGCCGGAGCCGGAGGGGAGGCAGCAGCGGGTCCCTGCCCCCGGCTCAGCCGTCCCTGTGCACGGGGCCTGAGGGATGATCGGTGATGGATGGAGAGTTCACCTGAGTCTGTCATTCACTGGGGGTGGGGGGCAGGGGCGGAGGGTGAAAGGAGACGCCTGAGGGTTGACAGAGGGGGAGAGGCCTGGGAACCAGTATCCGGGACGGTTCTATAAGGAGGGCAACGCCTCTGCAGGTGCAGGCTTTGGGATGCGGGCTCCAGCCCGCCCTCCTCTGCTGCCTCTCACCCTCTGCCACCAGGGCCTCCCAGCCCAAGGCGCAGGCACCGCTGGGCGCTCCACACCAGGTCTCAGGGTGGGGCTGAGGGAGGAGAAGCAGGCGAGAAGACAGAAGGGCAGGGTCACGTAAAGCCTGCTGGGATCAGAGAGCTCGAGGGCCACCAGGAGATGGGAAGTCGGAGGGAAGAGGTAGAACAGGTGGGGGAGGGGGTCAGCGGAAAAGTGAGATGACACAAAAGCAGAGCGAGGAGAGGAGAGAGCAGAGCAACGGGAGGAGGACCTGCAGGGGCCACTGTCCCCAGGTCCCCTCAGGGCACTGATTTTGCAACATGGCTCAGAGGAGGGGAGGATGCTGAGGTCCGCTCAGCCCTGGAGAGCGCCCTCCCCGACCTCTCTGTGCTCAGGAGCTTCCCTCTCCTCAGGACAGGAGCTGAGGACAGGAGCTGAGCTCAGGAGCGGAGCAGGGAGGGGTGCGGGTCCAAGGCGCAGGGTGGGAATGAAGGGATCAAGCTGCTTGCCCCCCCCCCCCCCTGTCGGCTGCCTCTGCCTCTGCGTCAACTCCCCTCCCAGCAGCACAGCCGGGGCATCTGTCCCCTTTGCGCTGGTTGGGGGGAGGGGGGCAGATAACCAATCCATGGAGCCGCCCAGGGACAGGCAGCAGGCAGGCCTCGCGCAGCAGCCTGCAGCCCCAGGCTCCCGGACACGTGCCTGACATGGGGTCACCGAGCTGCATGGCAGAGCATCTCCCTCCTCCCTGCACACAGGCGATTCTGACCCGTCCCTGCCTTAACCCCACGCCTCTCCTCCACCCCGTCCCCACCGTCCCCTCCCAGGGAGCCCTCCCTTCCGGCATCCGCAGCCACCTGTCCCACACCTTCTCCGGCCGTAAACCTGCCGAACCGAGCCTGGGTGGGGACCAGGGAGGGACGGCATCCTGACCCGGCAGGACAGGTGTGGGGACGGCAGGCTCGGCGGTGACACAGGTGCCTGAGCCAGGCAGGCCAGGCCATGGTTGCAGGCCGCCACCCCTGCCCGGGCAGCCCGGGGCGGAGCACAGCCCGAGGGCCCGCTGAGACCAGCCAGGGGCTCCTCAGGGCACCTCAGCGCCCCATGCCTGTCCATCTGCCTGGGGCCGTGGCCTTTGCAGGGCACGCGTGCTCCCAGCTTCTGGGCGTGGAGCAGCTGGTGGGCACCCACGGACACCCAGGCTGCACCCCAGCCCCCAGCACAGCGCATGCCTCCCGGGAGGGGCACACCCCTGGGCGTCAGAGGTGTGCCTGGAGGGGCAGGAGTTTAAACCCTTTCATGCCACAGTCTCTCTACCACTGGGGGGCGCGTTCTGGCTGCATTTCTCCCAGCTCCACGGCCTACGTTCTGATTCCAGAAGTCTGTCTGGTCTTCCCGACTGGCCTCCAATAAGTCCAGAGGAGCTTTGCCCAGGCGGCTAGGCAAGGACGGGGTCCACACTCCTTGGTCTCCTTGGCACACGCTCCCCGCCCCTCAGCCCAGCGCGACCCGGCCACTGAGACCACTGCAGCTGGGCTGGTGGAGGGCTGTCCGGGAAGAGGCCCACCCCCCTCGCCCCTCAGCATGCTGCAGGCCTCAGGCCGCCCAGCTGCTCTCTATCCCCATCCCCGTCCCCATCCCCGTCTCCATCCCCGTCCCCGTCCACGTCCAAATCCACGTCCACGTCCACATCCACGTCCAAAGTCCACGCTCACGTCCCCCCGCCCCACATGCACCGATAAGAAGAGAAGCGGGTACTTACATTATACCAGCTCTGGCTTTTCTGAAAGGACAAAACAGAAGAGAAGGTACGTTAGTCAGGGGAGGTGGTGGCACAGCCGGGGCATTCCCGGCTGCAGAGGGCAGGCTACACAGACAGCAGCGCGGGCGGGGGCGGGGCCCAATGCAGCTGCAGGTTCCCGTGGCTGCAGGAGGGGCCTCCTGGCGCAGCCCATGCTGGTGGCTCCGCGCGGGGGACAGGCAGTGGCAGCACCAGCCAGAGCTCAGCTGGGGGAGTCGACCTCATCAAAGATTCTGATGGGGAAGGGATGCGTGCAGGCATCCGAGACTGTCCCCAAGGGCCCTGACCAGAAGCAGAGCACAGTGGAGCCCCGCCACCTTCCGCCAGGCCAGCCCTCTGGGGCAGGACAGGATGCTTCCGTGCAAGGGACGCGAGGGGCCGCCTAGAAACTCCTTCCCGCTGCGCTGTCAGCGAGCAGATGAGGCCGCTCCCGCTCCCGCTCCGCAGCTGGCTGGGCCTCACTGGTGCAGCAGGAGCAAGGTAGAGCACGTCCCTGCTACCTGGCCCCCCAGCCTAGTGGGGCCATAACTCAACACCAACAAGCCCAGTCCCGCGCCAGCTCCAGGATTCGGGCGTTCTCCGTGCCCCGCCCGGGCCAAGGGGCTCATCCTCTGGGCAGCGGGAGGTTCTCCGGGAGAGGAGGGAGCTAAGCTATGCCCTGTCTGCCTCTGAGCTCGAAGGCTGGGGTCCTTCACGCACACCCCCCGGGGGGACAGCAGAGAACACACATGCACACGGCATGCACCTGCCCGGGCCTCGTCCTCCGAGGCTGACCCTGGGCTGAGACGGGCGCTGGGGTGCTTCCAGGTTTAGAAAGCTGGCCCGGGTGTAATTCAGGTGAAGAGCCACCGGGGAGAGGGGAGCGTCTTCACTGTGCGCAGACGTCGGCCCCTGAGCACAATGAACACCTCTGTCCCCCTCCTGGGTCTCAAGGGCCCCACTGTCTAAGGGGAGAAGGTGGTGTGCCTGGGGGTGCAGGGCGGGTGTGTGCCTGTGGTGAGGACAGCAGGGTCCTGTGACCTCCTGCGGCCACCAGCTCTCCCACCAGAAGAGTCTGCAGACTCGCCACCTCCACTTGGAAGGGGCGCGTGTGAGCAGAGGGACAGGGGTGGGTGGTGCCGCCCCTGGTGGGTTTGTTTCAGCCTCACACCTGATCCCAGTGGCCAGGATGCGGCCAGAGGAGCAGAGGGCACGGCAGGCCCTCACCCTCTGCAGGGTGCTTGCCAAGGCCACTCCCAGACAAAGGCTGTCACCTCGGCCCATGGGGAAGTCACAGGCCCCCACAATGGCCTCGTCTCCCCCTCCTCCGAGGCCTTGGCAGGTCAAGGAGCCAAATCGGAACATCCGAAACCACCTGTCATCCCTGCGGACTCGCGGCCACCGGGGGCCCGGCCCTGGGACTGGAAGTCAGCCCGTCAGCGTGTCAGCACCGGGCCACGTAGTCCTGCTCCTGCCTGCGCCCAGGGCATGAGGCTGGGCAGATCCGCAGTAAAACACACGTCCCACCCGGGGAGGCGAGCCCTGGGAGCTGCAGCCTCGACGGCCAGTTTGCCTGCATTTTATCACGCCCAAGCCAGGTCACCAGACACCGCCTCGCAGCCGAGAACACTGCCACGGCCCCAGCTCACCCCGTCCTCCTGCGTGTAAGACCTGGGAGGAGGCGCAGCAGGGCAGCGGGCTGGGTGGGCACCAACACCCTTTCTGGCCGCTGCTGTGCGTTCCTCCTCCTCCTCCGGTGAGGGGAGCAGGACAACATTCTCTCTTCCTGTCCTGCCACCCAATGCCTGTCCCTTCTGAGCCTTTACAACAGAGGTCCCCCGAGGGCCGCGGCTGCAGCCAGGGGCCCTGCCTCCTCGCTGCCTGCTGTGGCCCTTCGTGGGGAACATCTGCTCTTTGAAGGGAGTGAAGGACGTGTTCTCAGGCAGGGACATGTGAGATGCACCATCAAAAGCAAGTTCTGTCTTGCCTCTCAGCGTGAGCCGACCCCCCATCAGCTGCTTCTGAGCAGCTCCTCCCTGGCCACTGAGGCGCCCGGGGAAATGGGCCCACCCTGTGCCTCTCCCACGGAGCCCCTGAGCACCCCGGGCAGGAGTCCCGGACTCTGACCCGCCTCTGACCCCGAGCTCTGCTCTCCAGGACTGAGCCCTAAGGGTGGCCCAGCCTGAGGGGCAGGGAAGCCAGAGGGGCCGCGGGCATCCCTGGGCAGGAGGGAGGCTGCCGTGTGTGGGCTCACGGAAATGCCCCTTCTTGGCCAGAGGCCGGGGAGGGATGGAACCACGCAGCGTGGAGAGGGCTCTGCTGGCGGGTTCTCCGTGGAACGGGCAGAAGGGGGAGGAGGGTCAGGAGAAGTACCCAAGACAGGGCTGCTGGGAGCCGGGGAGCCGAGGGGCCCACTCGCAGCCCCACCTGGAGGGCAGGCGCCTGGGGCCCCCAAGGCCTTGCAAACAGCCAAGCTGCTGAAACAGCTCCCCTGGGCGGGGCCGGGGCCTGGCCGGTGGGCGTAGGCAGCAGCGGCCCAGGGCTCTGCTCTAACAGCAGCGAGGAGAACAAACAAGTTCTCACTTTGATCAGGTTAAGTCTGTCGCACTGGAAAGGAAACCACAAACACTAGGAATGAAAAGCAGGGGAAGGAGCCCAGAGACAGGGCCGGCAGAGGTGCCCAGCGCAGGGCGGCGGCCACTCCAGGCCAGGAAGCCGGAGGCACAGGAATGCCGCAGGCGCCTCCTAGTGGCCCCGAGCCAGCACTACAGCGCGAAGCTGGAGGCAGCAGCAGCTCAAGGGTCCTGGGAAATGGACATGCCCCTGCCGCCTGCCACCTGCCGCCGGTCAGTGCTGCACCGGTCAGCCTCACGAGTAGGACAGATTCCAGAGAGGGACACTGCTGACCAGCAGGTCCGGCCCTGCACTGACACGGGCAGGGAGAAATGGAGGCCCCGAGAAAGGAGGCCTGGCCCCGCACGAGGCCTGGCTCCGGGCGGGAAGCACTCTCAGTCCTGCCTGGATGCGGGGTCACCTCCTCCGTGAGGTGGCTGCGGGCCGGGCATGGGGCTGGTGGGAAGGCAGTGGCACTAGCTCTGGCTGCTGGGTCCCAGGCCATGGCCACATCTGTCCACCCGAGAGCCGGCTCCCCGAGGGGCCTGTCCCCCACACAAGCACTCTCCGCTCCTCTCCGCCTCCCCCTGCAGCTTTTCCTCACTCTGGGCTCCAGGCCCCGCCCTGTGCAGAACCGGATTCCTACCAGACCCTGCGGCCACACGCATGTCCCAGAGCGCCCGCTGCTGCCACTGCGTGGTGGGCACGCTCGCCGCGAGTCAGTGTGACTCTAACTGCACTTGGAGGCTGTGGTGCTGGTGGCGATGGCCGTGATGGTGAGAGAACCCGGTGGGGAGGCGGCTACGAAAGCCGGGAACTCAGAGTGTCCCCGGGGCCAGGCGCTGCCTCAGCCCGGCTCTGCGTCCCTTGTCCCCTCCCTCTGAGGCTCCGTAGGGAAGGGGCAAGACTAACACCCAGTCCACGCTCAGCGTGCCCCCCCCCCCACAGGGCCTCTCCAGAAGCTCAGAGTCCAGCCTGGCTCAGGGCTGCCCCCCCACTCACACAGGGTCTCCTGCCTCTGGCTTCGGGGAGCACCCCTCCTCCCGGGCCCAGCCCGGCGTGGCTGTGGGTAGCCGGTGGTCTCCAGCTCCCTCCCAGACCGTGTCCTGCCCAGGACGGAGCCTGGTGCTCACACTCCTCCACACCTCCTGCAGGACCCACTCAGGATAGTCCGCACTCCCGGGCGCTCGCCTCGTCTGACAGGCGACGGGAGGGGCCCAGGAAGTGCCTGGTCACTGAGGACACCAGGAGGCGCCTCGCTGGGCACCGGGCGAGAGGGTCAGGAAGCGAGAGCTGCACCCTCGGGGGAAACCTGTGCCGAGGCTGAGGGCAGAGCAGGGATGGAGCACCTGATGCCCACGCGGGCAGCACCTGCCGCTCCCCACCAGAGGAGAGGGGCTCAGGAGGGGAGGACAGAGGCCACCTCACAACCTGTGGCCCGACAAGCCTGCCCTGCCCCCTCCCACCAGGGCTGCTCTCGGCCCAGGACGCACTGCAGGACCAGCCTCTCCTGGGCAGGGACAGCAGCTGTCCCCTCCCCCAAACCCTGACAGAGCTGAGACCATGACTGTCAGCCTGGCTTTCTCTTCCTCAGGCTCCATCCACCCCCTTCCTCACGGGTGTGTCCCCGGCCCTGCCATTCTAGACCACCCCCCCCCTGCCTCAGGGGTGTGCCCCCGGCCCTGCCATTCTAGCCCCCCGCCGCTCCCCTCCCCTGTGCCCATGGTCCTCGGCCTCTGAGGTCCTGGGCCTGAGCGGACTCCGGCGCCGCCTCCCTG